CTTCAACAGACGTGGTAGTGTGTATGATCAAAAACAGAAACATGGATACTGTATGTATTTATTTAGTCAGATTTACAAAGCTGTGTATACGCCTGGTCCTGTTTCACAAATCTTAAATCATGGTGGACAACCCGTTCTCTGTCTGAAGCCACTGTAATCAGTGACGTCCGGCGTCAGATGCTGATGAAAAAAGCTGTCCTTTTACGTCAATGTGATATGCAACCGGTCACTGTCATTATATAACGTCGCCTGGTGGTGTCAGGTGGAAACAGGGCGGGACAACAATGAAAGTTAAGGCGTTGGACGTCTGAGTTGAGCAGGCAGAAGGGGGTGGTGGATGGGTCCAACAACCACTGACTTTCATCTGGGAGGCTAGCTTCACCTCCTGCAAGATTATAAAGCCAAACCCTGTTCTTTTTTCCTACACTCAGCTATGTGCGTGTGTTTGCAAAATGTAACCATGCGTGTTAATTCACAGTGTTGTACCTACGTAGTGCTTTTATTTTGAAACAGACTGTATGCAAACTGTACATTTCCTGTGAAAACAGATGTGTATTTTGAAAACAGACAATGCATGTAACAGGCTGAAGTTGACACGGCGTCCCAGAACGTCAACAACCAACACACCCAGGGTACCTTGGACATCGTATCTTGGAAGTAGAAAGTCCATGACCAAATGTTGATAAGTGACGAGGTCGGAGTGAGGAGGTGTTGTTGTGGAGCTGGACACAATTCCAACGTTACAGTTCACAGTAAATGGATGTAGAAACACCCCAAATAACCCGTTTGTATCTTGGTGCTTGTGTCGGCCACCAGAGAGACCTGTCAGTGAAAAGAACAGCAAAGAAGACGTGCAGTTTCAGTGATTGTGTTGCATCGCTGTGGTTCCAGCAGAGCAGCTGTAACTTCGTAGTGCCTGTATCGTTAATTCTTAACATGAACTCATGTTGACAAACACTTTGTAAAGTGTAGTAACTGAGAAGTGACTGCTCAAATGTCAGTAATAATATATGAAGACATGCAGCACTCGTAATAAGTCTTTTAAAGGACCGTCGATTTTTGCAGCAACCTACCTACTCTTAAAGTGCTGTGGGTCACAAGTGGTTGTGTATCAGTGTTCAAGTATTGAACAGCCTCAGGATATGTGCTTTTCCTGAGGTGAGATGTCCTACATCTGAAACTCTGGAATCTCCTTCCAGAGGGGAAAGATGTGAAGATGGAGCTAGCAGGGTGAGAGGAGTCGGCGATCCCCATCTGGGTCTTGCATCTGGTACATGTGGCATATATGGAGGAGAAAGAGGGAAGTTTACAGCCAGTGATCTGAGATACTGTGCTTCCAACTCTTTCCAGTGGTCCCCTCTGAAGGCCATCCATCTGTTTCAATCTGCGCGTTAACAAAAAAGGTCAGAGTTGAGTGGAAATGCAGGAAATTTGAGGTGTAGAAGCTGGTCTATGGATAAAAACCAAATAGAAACAAACATAGTGAATAAATAATGATGACGTATATGAAGCATGTGACTAAAGATTAAAACCCTTAGATCTGTGATCTAGAGACTGTGACCAACCGGCTGTCAATCAGTGGAACAAATTGAAACTGTAGCTCATCCTCATTCTTGCCCATGTAATGTCAATCGATTTCAATCAATCAATTTCATTTATAAAGCCCAATATCACTGAAGTAAAAGATCTGATTACTTCTTTCACCGCTGCCTTGAACCAAGACACATAAGATGGTATCGATCCTCATCAAACTCTCTGCAAGAAAGCAAATAGGCGTATTTCTCAAGATGTCTGAATGTGCCATGACAACAGATCCAAAGTCACCTGTTAGCTGAGTCGGATACGTTAAATAATCCAACACACCGACAGGAACTGTGACGAGAACACAGATGATTTGTTTCTTAACATGTTGCTGCGTTCACAAACACACCTTTTATCTTTAATTGCAGCACAACAAGTAGCTTCAGCTGCTGGCTCCCAAAGGTCAGCACGGGTCAGGTCAAAGGTCATGTGATGTGAATGTCCAGCTGCAGGCTATGCATACCACACATACATCAGTACAACACACCACATAAACACTGATGGATAAGAAACACACACTGTGATAATATCAACATGGCTTAACTGTGATAAGATTACTTTACAGTTTAAATCCTCATTCATGAGGTGTTTACGTTATTTGTCTCTGTGTGTATATCATAGATCTGCTGCAAGTCAGTGCGCGCGCGCGTGTGTGTGTGTGTGTGTGTGTGTGTGTGTGTGTTTGAGTGATGCAGACGGGAGAGAGAAGCCTTTTTTGGTCAGAGTTTATATTTCTAAATGTACACTCATTAGCCCAGAGAGTCAGCGGAGGCAGGAACCAATCAGATGATCAGATTAGGATCAGCACTGTTGAGATTTCAGGATGCAGGTCACTCCCCTCAGATGCTCCCGCAGGCTCCTTCAGGGAGCGGATTTTTCCCTCAGCTGACTGTATTTTCTGTTTCTGGGATTTCCTTCATTCCTTAAAGTCTGCAGAGATGGAACGTGTCTCTGGTTTCTATGTGAGAAAATGAGACTCAAGTATGAATCATAACTTGGCAGCAGATCGATCTGGTCCCTGTCCTGTTCCTCTGGATGCTGAAATGTGTGTGTGTGTCTCCAGTGTGATTTATATTTTACCCATATGAATTTTAAGAATATAGTCAAGTTAAACAAAAAGCTGCCAGTAAAATTTAAGTGTTTCTTCAACTGTGCTTATTGTTGGTCGTCGATTGAAGGGATGACTGTCAATTGTTTTTTTTCCTCCACTGATATGAAGGTGATTTTACCTAACTTAAAATCATTAATAAGATGTTCTAAAATAATCTCTAGAAGCTGCATCCTCCTGTGCATTTAGAGATGTTTCCGTTGTTTGAATAAAGGAGACATCGCTAGTATAAATAGACTTTTTAATCTTTAAATATTTAAATTGAGGGATGCAGGATAATATCAATATCTGCTGATAACAGCCAACATGCCTTTTCTTAATTTGCACAATGAATGAATATTACATACCCTGAGAAGTATTGTATTTCATGTGTGTTGGCATGTTCAAGAAGATGAAGAGTTTCATTAGACGTTTACAGTGTGTGACCATCATCATCATCATCTCAGAGCAGAGAGCAGCTGAGCAGGTGTGATGGTGGTTTTTATACAGGATGTAAACTGCACAATCCAAATGTTGAGTCTGTAAAGTGAACTGATGTAAATAGAAGACCCCCACTAGCACGTGCATGCACACACACACACACACACACACACACACAGTGATGTGACAGCAGACCAATGACTCTCTGCCGCTGGATCCGGTTGTGGCTGGCTGATAACTGATTAATTATTTCCTGTTTATCTGGTGTCAGGGTGGAACTTCGTCTCAGATCAGGAAGTCTCTTTGGTTTGTTTACTGACGGATCATTATGAAAACATTAGGAAAGAGTGCGATGGATAAATGGAAAAACACACTGACGATGCAACAAAAACTGTCAGTACCTTTAAACTCTTTCAAAATGTATAAATTATTATTTTTAATTGTAGTAATTGTATCGATAGTCAGTAATGGAAGAATTGTGGGACATTTTGTATATGTAAGTAATGCCAGAAGTTGTAGCAGTTACGGTATTAATAAAAGCAGCAGGAGTCGTAATGTTAATAGCAAATTAGCAGCTGTTTTTGGAGTTACAGTACTAGTCTAGGAAATAGTAGTGGTAGTCTTACTATATAATGACGAAAACTCTGTCTGTTCCATGTTTTTCTCCTCACTGACTTGGTCAATCCATGTGAAATTTGGCACAGTGGTAGAGGGTCATGGGAGGATGCCAATGAAGCAATATTACATCAATTGGCCAAAGGGGGGTGCTATAGCAACCCATTGAAATGTCAAACTTTGAATGGGCATATCTCATGCCCCGTATGTCGTAGAGACATGAAACTTTGCACAGAGATGCCTCTCCTCATGAGGAACACATTTGCCTCAAGAACCCATAACAACAGCTTATATAGATTTTCTGCCATTTTGCATTTTTTGAAAAACACTTCAAATGGATCTCTTCCTAGGAAGTTTGAGCGATCTGCATGAAACTGGGTGAACATAATCTAGGGACCAATATCTAAAGTTCCCTCTTGGCAAAAGTTGGAAAACTTACTAAAACTGAGCTTCTATAAGGCAATGAATATTGCGGAGGGCGTGGCTCATCACATAAAGGTGTATAACATCTCAAGGGTTTCACCCATCATCATGCAACTTTGTAGGCATATGACCACACATAATCTGAGGGGACCCCTCCATTATTGACCCCATCAAACAAAATGGGGGCGCTAGAGAGCTCATTTCTTATCTAGGCCTATGGATGGCCATATAGATTTTTACTAAACTTGGTAGATATGTAGAACAGGACGCCTCAATGGTGGCGCTATAACAACAGAAAAATGCTTCAAAATGGCTAAAATGCGACCGATCGCTGTGGCTCCCCCTGTGGACCAATGTTGGTGTTTTCTAATGTTTGGTATGACTAAGTCATGGTATGGTATGCTGTACATAATCACAGAAACTGTCAGTGTGTCATTCTGTCAGTCAGTCATTCTGTCTGTCCCACGTTTTTCTACTCACTGACGTGGTCAATCTATGTGAAACTGCACATAGGCATTGAGGACTGGCATAGGTAGAAGGTGACAAAGCTACAAATGGGTATGGAGTAGCATTATTAATTACAGGAGTAGAGTAATGGCAGAAGTCATCAGCGATAGCAGAACTAGTAGTAGTAGTAGCAGCAGTATTGAGAGTTGTTATAGTAGTGCTTGTACAGTAGAAGTAAAAGCAGCAGCAGTAGCTGTGATAATAGCTCAGAAGCAGTAGTATATATAGTTACAGTAGTAGTGCTAGTATCTTTTCCTCGTACAGTAATAGCTTCAGTAGTGTTACAGTTCTTATTAATGTTGGATTAGCTCTCTGTGGTCAATAATGTCTGTATCGTCTCCCTCAGGATCATCAGACTCTCTGGGCCTCCTGTCCTCCTGCTGAAGGGCTGAAGATCCAGACGCTGAACCTGTGCCAGGTATCACATCATCACTTCATCACACCATGACATCATCACTTCATCACCTCATCAGTAACACCAACAGTCACAGCTGTGAGGCCGGGAGTCACAAACGTCTGACAGCCGTTTGGTTTCTCTTTCCTCCTCTGGAGCTTTTTGCAGTTGTTACTTTGCAAATTCATCACCGCAGCAGACTTTCACTGTATCACAAAGCGTACGTTCAACACATGAAATGAGCCATAAAGCTTCCCGTGTTTAACGAACGTGTCACTGCAGCCACTTGGATGTTACTTTACGTGCTTTGATCCTGCCTGAGAGGGGCTAACCTCCTCCAGTTATGGTCTCTGTGGTCAGTTTGTAAGAGCTTACAGTTGGATTTTATTTCTAACTGCAGCTGATGTTGGTGGTTGGCTGGCACAAAGAGAGGAGGTTAGTTTGCGGTTCTTTGAGGTGCTGTTCAGTACAAGTTGTGACTAGAAGTAATTACAAAATCAACTTTCTCCGGGATGTTTCTGCTAAAGTGATCTGTTGAGGAAATTCATAATGAGGAATTTCCTGCAGATTGGGGTCAGCCTGACTTTAAATGCTGCCGCTTTAATCAGCTATTTTTCATCATTGTCTCACAGTTTGTACTAAAGTTGTCCCTTTAACACGTCATTTTTGTCATTTTCATGGTAGATTTGACCAAGAGGGCAAAGAAACTCTGCAGATCAGCAACATCAAACAAAGTCAGAATGCCGTCAAGTCATAAACGAGAGTGGAAAAATAAAAATCTTTTAAACCTATAAAAGCATCTCACAGACGAAAATTCCTTCTTCATGATGATTAGCAGATTCAGAGGGTTCAGACTCATTGAATCCAGACTAAACAAATCAAACAGAGCTTCGTGCTGAGTTTGACAGAATTCTCATCTTATCACATTAACAGATCAGAATAAGAAGCTGGTGTTTCAGCCCAGTTCAGCTGCGGACAGACAGTAAGAACAGATCAGACAGTTACTGAAGTTCAGGCCTTCGACACAACTTAAGTGTTAAGTTAAAGAATTATTGTTTTCCTTCTTAGTGTGTTTCTTTTGCATTTTGAGGCCTGAGCAGTGAAAGTATTCTTTGATAGACTGAGTTATCGTGATGTTCACTAACAGCAGTGACTTCTGGAAACACAGCTGGCAATTATTTTGAATTGTGGAGACGTGAAATCCGTAAACTTGTTATTTCTGTTGTCATATCAGCCGTAACTGTAATGTTTTGACCTATCCGACATTACTGCTGTGCTTATTTATGTTTGTGTCGCTTTGCTGTCATCTTTGATAAACCAAATCTACGGGCGCAGAAGCTAAACACGGGGGCCAAATCAGTACAAATACGTCTTAGGTGGCTGAAACGTATTGTAGCCACTGCAAAGAACGAACAAAATACGCTGGCCTCTTTTCTTATCGACAAGTTGAGGCGATGCTGACCCTGCAGCTGCACCTGACGCTGTCTTCCACGGGTTGTTGTTCTTCTGTTCTAGTAGCCTTCTTCTTCCTCTGGCATTTAACAGCAGACTAGGACACTTGTAGGTGTACACACTGCCAAGTTAGGTCTGGCACAATTGCATCCACAGTACCTACAGTACTGGAGAAAAACGAGTACTGTCACATTTTCAGAATTTTGGAATCGACTTTGTACCGAAGTATCAGCTCTTGTGACATCCCTCCTCTCATTAAAACATCTGGCGTGTGCTCAGAGAGCCGGTGGTTAAATACCGTTGTTGTGTTTCTTGTAGTTGCTAAGACTGTGCAGCTCTTTGAACCTTAAATCATCTTCTCCTTGGAAGCAAAATAAAAACAGGGAATCAAACTATACCTCAGGGACGAAGAAGAAGTCAGATATCTAGCAGTGACATTTTTATTAACGGCTACAAATATGTTCAGACCCTGCTGGTGTTTCTGGCAGCAGAGACCTGACGGGTGAAGTCATTCCTCTGTGCTGTTACTGTATCTGAGAGCAGTCCCTCACTGCATTAATGGCAGGCCATAATTTATTCTGCTTGTTTTCTGTGGAGACGAACATTATCAGAAACCTCAGAGGTGACTCGCTGTGAACTCTAGGAAACCACAAGTATTTTCAATCAGCAAAGCTTTGGCTTTCTTCTCCTGCAGGGCTGAATGAGCAGATAACGTTGCAGAGACGACTAATGAGAGGACGTCAGCTCCACTCGTGCATTTCACTAATTTAGTCTCATTAGAGGAAAGTCTCTCAGAGATTTACTGAGTAGATAATTGTGGATTTATTTATTTTTCACTTTCTAAAAGCTGCTTTCTTATTTAAAGCTCCATAAAAACGTCCTCTCTGTTCTGAAACTACCTTAAATGCAATAATATAAAATAAATGTGGTGAACATCGACATTTTTAAGAGGACAGAGCTGCCAGACTCGAGCTGGATGGAGGTTGATGGTTTTCATGTGGTCTGGCAGCCATGTTGGCGTTCCTCAGTGAACAGTTGTGAACAGCTGGATGTTTCTCTAAACTTCAGATCTTAACACACACGCGTAATGATTTGTCTGGTTCTGACTTTATTGTAATCAGAAGTTCATCTGTTTGTCAGCATGTTGGCTAAATAATGTGTCTGCTCAGCTCGCCATCACTGTATAATCAAGTATTCCGATCCATGACCAGAATTATTAACACCACACTGTGTGAACACTCCACTGTCCTGCATTCAAAACCGCACTTAAGTAAAAGTATGTAAGTATTATCAGCAGAAAGTAAAAGTATGTACAGTAAAATGTTCCCTGTCAGTGTTTTCCTGTTCTATCTGATGTTTTAATTCCTCCATGCCAGCGATAGCTGTGGCCAGGGGCATTATGTTTTTGGGTTGTCTGTCTCTCCCTCCATTTCCCCCAGTTCTCAGAAACACAATATCTCAAAAAAGCCTCAATGGAGTTTCTTCAAATTTGGCACAAACGTCCACTTGGACTCAAAAATGTAGAATTAAAAATGCATTTTTGTATTGAATTACTCCGTGCTTAGTAACCAGGGACAGGAGTTGCACATTTGCCATGGCTAGTAACCTGTATTGCATCTACTTTACCTATGAAGCAATCTGTTATGCAATTAAATAAATAAAATGAACTGATTAGAATTTAGCGGTCAGAGGTCACTGCGACCTTGTGCCCATCTCATTCTCATGAACACGATATCTCAAGAAGGTCTTGAGGGAATTTCCTCATTTGGTCAGATACTAAATTGGTGACACCAATCTTAGGCGTCCACCTAACGGTCTTCTGTGCTGTCGTGTCTGTGAAGCGTTGATGTTTCAGAATATGTAGCTTCCATCTCTATTTAAAGCACTGTCTGCTATCATAGCTACATATGAGTCTGGACAGACATGGATGTAAACTGTAACTTGACTTGCTTGCAGAGGCATACAACCGTAGGGCGGTCATTCTAGTCGGATTAATGTTGCTGCTGCATTATTTTGTATGTTGCATTTTCCTGCTGTAGATGTTTAAGGTTTGGCTCAGGTTTGTATATTGTCGGGTAGTTTAATCTACAGCAATGCATCATAGTCTATAAGATCATTGTGTGTTTGTAGCGTGGCTGTCCTGTGAGAACCACGTATCTCTAAAAAGTCAGAAAAACAGCCTGTTTTGAGCTCTGTGAGGACGAGTTTTCCAGCTGTATCAATCAATCTTGTTACACTTAGAAAGTGATTAACTAAAAGTAAACTTTACAAGCACAAAATGTTTCTACAGAGACTGACAGTATCAAGGGTTACATTTTTCATCATTTGTTTGCACAAATTAGTTTTCCTTGAACGTCCACAAATTCAATTTCTTTCTTCAAATTAGCGTCAAGTTTTTGTAGCAGAAAAAGACTGAAGCTAAAGGCTGTGGCTTGTCCAGCATCAGGAGCGTTAAGAGCAGGTTAACACCTCAGTTTTAGTCAACAGGAGCCCTGATGTGTGAGATGTAGCATGACGGTTACCTGTTTCTGAAAATGGACTGTCACCAAAGGGTTCACATAATTTGTCGGGAAGAGCGTCAGAAAAATCATCTCACTAAATGCATGAATTCTTCTTAACAACTTTTAGGGTGAAAAAAGTCAGGCTGATGTAAAGTTAGAAGTTGTGAAGACAATACAAACCATGTTAAGTCAAAGTCAAAATCTGAAAATTTGGTTAAAATTTGTGCCAAATTTGAATGGAAACCTGGCGAGTAATTCACTAGATTAAACCATAAGTTTATAGTCAGTTCATATTTCTACAACAATATGAGGCATTCAGAGGAACAATTTAAATTTGTACACACAAATGAAGCAATTTCAGGGCACTGTTACTGAATTCATCAGTAAATTTAGGGGAAGAGTGACAAGTCTGTGTGCACAAATTAACTTCTGATACATGCAGTCTCCATAGAAATGTTTCCTGTTGTGTTACTTTGACTCCGTAAATTATATTTTTACATCAGTTGGCCTCTGCATGCGCACTTAGCAAAGATGTTAATCTCAAAGATAACAGGTTGAGGCTTTGTCCTGGTGGACTCGTGGTCAAGACGCAACATACAAAGAGATTTTAACATCCCCGGTTCAGTGCTCGCTCAGTATAGAGTGAACCACAAGTTACAGAATTCAGTCCCTCAAGTTAATGTTGTAAAATCACCTCTCAGCTTTTAATTCCTCATACATTTTGACTTTTGAATCAGTTTCAGTTGGCTGGCTTTGGCTGCTAGATGCACACATGCTGCTTTGTAAAATGAACAGTCAGTCTGAATGAGCTGCTTTGGATTGATACAGTCTTGATTTTTGGACTGAGATACTCAGATTAACTTCAGGTCTTTGTGACGTGACATTCCTGAATAATATTTGATGGAGTAATGGATTGTTTCTGTGTATAATTTTCTCATTCATACACTCAGGTTAATTACAGTAATTGTATCCATTTATATTTTACCCTTGAACTCCTCTGTAAAGGCAGAGCGACCTCGGTTTGTCTAATGGCACGCACTTTTCAGATTCCCAAGTGTGGAGTCATGGCTG